AGATATCAAGTAGGTGTAACATGTTCTCAAAAAATTAGGGTTGGCACGCAGAAGAATTTTGAGTCAGAGATTTTGCTGGTTTTGGCACGCACTCACAAAAAGGTTGCCCACCCCTGGCCTATGAGCTCCTCCACAGCAAGAACTAGAGGTCACAGCATAGTAAAATGTTTAAGACAGAGACAAAACTTGAAAGCAATAAGAGAAAAAGAACTCATCATATATAAGAAAAACCCAATAATATCAGAAACTGATTCTGTGGAAATAAAGGTCAGAATGCAGTGGGGTTATATAATCAAAGTGTTAACAGAAAAATACCCAAATACCTGCCAACCAAAAAGTGATATCCAGTAAAACTAATTTTCAAAAATGAAGGGGCAATAAATACATACCCAAATAAACAAAACTGAGAGGAATCATTGGTAGCACACCGACATCACAAAAACTACTAAAGAAAGTTCTTCAGGCTGAAAGCAAGTGCCCCCAGGTGTGACATGACTCCAAACAAAAGGCAGAGCACCAGTACATGAAATTATGGAATTATAAGAAAGCATAAAAGTGAATTTCTTCTCCTACCTAATTTAAAAAGGAATTGCACAAAACAATCTTACGGATTACATATTGTTGGGTTCTAACATATAGAAATATAATATATATAACAGCACAAAGGAGGTTGGTGGGAGCAAATCTGTATTGGAGAAGGAAATGACACCACATTGTAACTCAAATCCACAAGAACAAATAAAGATAATTAGAAATGGTAAAAAAGAAGGCTAATAAAATAAACTCTATACATATGTATTTGCTTCCCTTTCTTTTCTTCTTTAAAAGACATAAAATTACTCAAACTAATAATTACATCAACATATTGTTAGGTTTGTAACATATATACATGTGCGTGCATAGTAATAGCACAAAAAAGGAAGAAAAGAAAATAGAGCTATACAGAAATATGATTTTTAATTTCACTGGAATTCAATAAGTATAAACCTGAAGTAGAATCTGTTCACTTAAGATGTATAAGGGAATCCCTATACCAATCACTAATAACAAATATATATATAATAAAAAATCATTACAAGAACTACTTCAAAAAGAGAAAAAATAAAGGAACAAAAAAGACATGAGACATATTAAAGACATATTACAGAGATGCATATGTCTTTTTGAGTTAGTATTTTGGATTTCTTTGAATAAATACCCAGAAGTGGAATTTCTAGGCCATAAGGTAATTTTATTTTTAATTTTTTTTTTAGGAATTTCCATATTGTTTTCCATAGTGATTGCAGCAATTTGCAATTCCACCAACAGTGCACAAAGGTTCCCTTCTCTTCACATCCTCACCAAGATTTTCTTTTTGTTGATTCATTGGTGATAGTCATTCTTATAGATGAGAGGCAATAGCTCAGTGTGGTTTTAAAATGCATTTCTCTGATGTTTAGTGATGGTGAGCATCTTTTCCTATGTCTATTGGCCATTTGCATGTCCTCTTTGAAGAATTGTCTATTAAGGTTCTCTGCCCATTATTAAAATTGGTTGTTTGTCTATTTGGAGTTAAGTTGTAGATGTTCCTTTTTTTTTTTTTTTTGGATATTAATCCCTTATCAACTGTATCATTGGTGAATATCTTCTCCCATTCAACAGGTTGTCTTTTCATTTTCTTGATGGTTTCCTTTGCTGTGCAAAACTTTTTAGTTGGATGTAGTCCCATTTGTTTATTTTTCTTGTCCAAGGAGATATAAATCCCTCCCCAAAATTATTAAGAGCAATCTCTAAGAGTTTACTGCCTATGTGTTCTCCTAGGAATTTTATGGTTTTGGGCCTTCATTTAAGTCTTTAACTCATTTTGACTCTATTCTTGCAGATGGTATAAGAGAGAAGTCTAGTTTCACTTTGGGAATACGTCTATCCAGCTTTCCCCAAATGATTATTGAAAAGACTGTCTCTATTCCATTGTAAATTCTTGCCTCCTTTGCCATAGATTAATTGACCATACAGATGTAAGTTTATCTCTGAGCTCTCAATTCTATTCCATTGCCTTATGTATCTTATTTTATGTCAGTACCATGCTGTTTTGATTACCACAGCCTTTTCTTTTATTGTATACCTTGTTGTATATCAGGTAGCATGGTATTCCCAACTTTGTTCTTTCTCAAGATTCCTGTGGCTATTCACGCTCTTCTGTGGTTCTATGTAAAATTTAGGATTATCTGATCTAGTTCTGTGGAAAATATAACTGATATTTTGTTAGAGATTGCACTGGATATATAGATTGCTTGGGGGAGTATGGACATTTTAACAATATCATTTTTTGCTATCCAAGAACAGGGTATTTGCTTCTATTTATTTTTATCTTCAGGTTCTTTATTTAATGTCATAATTTTTCGGGTACAGCTCTTATACCACCTTGGTTAAATTTATTCCTAGGCATTTTGTTGTTTTTGTTTTTTTTTTGGATGCAATTGTAAATGGGATTGTTTTCTTAATTTCTCTTTCTGCTGGTTCATTATCCTATCTAATAAAAGAGTAATATGCAAATTAACTGTCACTCCCTCACTCCATTACTCCCTCACAAAGATGGCGGCGGCCACGAAGCTGGAGTAAGCAGGAGGTTTGGGTTGCCCCCAGCGATGGAGGAAGCCAAGCTTCCCGCCTGCCCTGGCTGGCACTGGGCTCCATTCAATGCTACAAAATTTCAATTATAGAAGATAAATAAATCCCAGATACCTGGTTCCAGCCGCTGTGGCCTCCGCTCAAGGGGGGGCTCAGAACCTGGGTTGCCAGGGGCAACCCAGGCTTCGAGTTGGACCAAGGCTACAAAGTTTCAATTATAGAAGATAAATAAATCCCAGATACCTGCTTCCAGCCCGCGGCCGTGGACAGTCTGAAAACGGCCATCAGCCCCTCACCCAGGCTGGCCAGGCACCCAAGCAGAACCCCCACCATGATCCGGGACATCCTTCAGGGCAAACCAGCCAGCCCCCACCCATGCACCAGGCCTCTTTCCTATATAATAAAAGGGTAATATGCAAATTGACCCTAACAGCAGAATGACTGGGAATGACTGGTCACTATGACACACACTGACCACCAGGGGG